GGTGGGTCGATCGGTATCTAGGGTCCGCGGGGTTTTTGGCCAGTACCGGGTCCCACCACCCCTCCCCCCGGGCCCTCCCTTTTCCTCGCCGGCCCCAACCCCACCCAAACCCCTCCCCCCCTCCCCCCCTCCCCCCTCCCCCATCCCGTCGAAACGCGACATCGCGCTATAACCGCAGCTTTACGCAAAATTCTATCCTCGATACGTGTGTCATTTTTGTATCGGCACATCCCGAGATAATCTTTCTTTCGTACAAAAAAAAGAGTCATTAACTTATAATCACCGAGATCTCATCGCCGTCGCATTAGCTTGAACAAATTTGGCATAATATATAATATTATTTTTTTTTTCATCGTAATTATAAAGGCCGTGATTAAAATGATTAATTTACCCGACACGGGGATCTTATTATCGTCGCTCTAATGACGCATTTTTGATAAATTTAATATTCAAGCGAAATGAACCCGTTCGGGAAAATTATTTGGAAGATAATGATCGCTCCGAGTCCACCAATGACATTGCTTTGTGCTACAGCGGGATTACGACTCAAATATTAAATATCCCCGCTTTGAATCGGTTGAATCGATCGCTGCGGCGCGATCGGACTAATAGCTATTACGCGCCGGCCGCGTAAATACGACGTAATACGCGTTGTTGACCCAAACAAAATTTTCCGACCATATTATCGGAGCGGCTGCATTAGCCTCTAGCCCTGTTAAACGCCACACCTTCGTCAAGGGTTTATTAACGATAACGGGATTGACACAGGTCGGCCTCAATGCTCGTGCATTGAAGCGCTCATTACGATAGCCCCGATAATCTTCCTAGGTGGAGCAAAAGTTACGGTTCTTCAAAATTGCATATTCACACGCAGTGAAAACATTGAAACTAATACGGCAATATCGTTGGCCGTTAGCTCGGCGCGTACAGCGCGTTGTTGTATTCCGCACGCGAAATTTCCGCGGAAGCCGCATTATCCGTTTTGCATTAACGTCGTATCGAATCCCGTGCGTAGTATTCATTACGGTAACACCGGTTGTCACCGTCGTGACGGTTGCGTCGACGAAAGTTTACGCTCGGTGCGAGACGAACGGTTACACACCAACTACGGCGAGAGATCGCTGTAATTTTCATTGATCCCTTATGCGATCGGAAAGCCCGATGTACCGTAAATTCGCGCGGAATTCTGACCGAGTTCCTCGCGAATCTCTCAGCCGGTTATGTGCCACGTAGCGAAATTGATAATTCAACCCTATTGTGGCGGCACTTAATCCTATTAGAACTCAACCACTCGACCATAATACCCTTCGGGGCTACGTACACGGCAGCGATCGCCTTCGAATACTATCGATCCGCGAATTATTCGAACAGAATCTCAAGATTGCGTGAATATGTCGCGGATTATTCCGAGGGAGGAATGATCCTCCGGTTGAAAAATGCCCGAATGCATTGTTGCTCCGTAATTTCGCGCTATTTTTCATCCTCAACTCCGTGACTTCAATTATGCTCGATGAAAAGATTGTTGCTGTAAAATACGATGAAAATACGCGGAAACATTCGAGCCGCTGGAAATGCATATTTTGTGGAAAATCTATGTAAAGTAGCATTTCTAACTGTTTTTCAAAGCTTGTTAAAGCTCGAAGAAGCGAGCTTTTGTATCAAAAGCGGACGATGGCACACGCGGGGGCGTGCGCAAAGGAAAATGGGTTAATGCGGATCTACGTGCGCGCACGTGAATCAATTTACAAATCTATATTTGCGCCGCCGACGAGCAACGTGCCATTTGGAAGTCACTGACGTCGCATCGTCGGAAAAGTCATCGCGAAGGCAGCGGCCGGCGCGTCAATCAGCTCGCGGACGGAAAATCGAGAGGAGTAAAACGCGAGAGCGCAACGAGACAGAGCGGGCTTTCGCAAGCTTTCGCGAGTGTAACGAACGTGACGACGGAAGTAGACAGCGGCAATTTAGTCTGCGAGCCCCGGTGATGCACTTGGTATCATAAGCGGCGCATTGTCTTTAGGCTTAGACATTTATAAATCACTATTATTTATAATACAATCAAAGTAAGTAAATAAAAATTAATTAAACAAAAATAAAAAATAATAAAATAATTTAAAATAATTAAAATTTATGATGAAGTAGAAAGTAAACAAAATAATTATGAGAGGTAACGCTGTTATTTAATATACACATCTCCAATATTTCTATTTTAAGATCTAACACTGTCAAATACTGACCATCGATGTTCTTGTCTTACGTGCAATCATAATATATTCACCATATGATGTGTGTTCGAAATGTGCTCGTCTAATGACAAGTAGGACATGCGTTCTGTCTAATGTATGTCCTCCTCTGTGAATAGAAGATGATTCAGACGTCTTTAAAGTGTCGGCCGGCAAAGCAAAAGAACAATGCAAACACGATTGGTATGGTGGATTCGTATATGTATACTGCGTGTTGCATGCGTGTACAACAAACGTCTGCGCTGCACGTGGTGTCCGAGTAACTATGAATAAACACGCGCGAACCTGCATTATTCGACATCAATCACCTGGATTTCGCAAGACGCCTAATATTGATACGGTCAATAACCCTACGCGGAATTGATCGCATCATCGTTCTCCGTCGACTAGAAATAGTGTTCTTAACAATGTATAACTTCTTGAGTTATGACTTGATATAGTTGTATGACTTGATATATGTTATGACTTGATATATTTCCATGGAAATTAATATTTTAACCTATTTGCAATCTTCTTTTAAACTTTATTTGCCAAATTTACTTAATTTTTAATCGCTTATAATTTAAAACTTCTTGATGCTTAAAGAATTATCGCTCTAATGTCTATGATTTAAAGAAAATGATTTCCGAAACCGTCTGTATATATATATGCACTACACAATAATTTTCTCATTAGCCTCCAACAAAGTCTTTGATGTTCGAAGCCTTTGTTAAAGTGCTAAATATTCTTGCTAGCAAACAATGAAGGCTTTGATGTATTCAGTACAGAATTCGCGGAACACCGCGCGTCTTGAACTTATTATCGTCACTATTCGGCTCTAATAGACCGACGACTAAATAAATGTTAAATTAAGATTCTCGTACTTTGATTTTTCTCACTCAAATCTCGTGCTATCATAATTTCATTATTTTTTATATTATTTATCTTTAATTTCATTTTTGATATCAATTTTCTTATACATTATTACAATCAATTATTTCTTACTAGGGCAAGGGAAAGGTAGATGAAAATATTTGCTGGAAATGTTTCGCTAATCGCTTTGAAATTATCTCGGGTGATCGATCGTACGCTTAATCGCTGCTCCGCTAATTGAACTTTTAGCGCGCAGTAATTCTCTCGCCGTCGTTTCTTTGCGTCACGATGATAATTGCTTCGACGTATCCGCGGCTCTTTTAACAACCTCCGCGATCGATACTACGAGCGGGATGGACGCGAAAAGCCGTTCGGTGTAAGTTCGATCGGTATCGATGCCTATTTCTCAGGAAAGTTCGACGTGCTCTGCTTTAAACTTGGCGAACTCAGCTGCGCGATGGCTTATAAAAGTGAGGGGCGCCGGAACGCCACGTCCATATCCATCGATAATTTATTCCTTCGGCTGCAGTAGCGATTTTTCTAGCGTGTCAGCGACACTTTTACCGCTATACTTTATACGTCCGCCTGCCGATGCAGTCACTTTTAATGCGCGCTACGTCTTCGCGCCAAGCATGGGAAGGTAATAATAATAATGTACATCGCGCATGGCGCGAGAATCGATATACAAGATACACACATGCATGAATAATCCCTCCCCTCTCGACCGCGAACGTGGTTGACTCGGCGTACGAGCGATACTTCCGTTATACCGAAAATAAAGAGCACAGATAGTAACGCTTCCGTGGCGATTAGACGAAAATGTTGTCAATGAAAAACAGATAATTGCATAAAATATAACTTGATGGCAAACTTTCTGCAAAACTTAGAAGCGGGAAGTTTTGTTGCAAAGTGCGCACAATGGAGGAAAAGTTGTTTTAATTGTTCGTAATTATATTCGAGAGAGAGAGAGAAAAATGTTTTTTGCGCGCGAAACACTTTCCGACATTTAAACACGTTATGCAGAGATGAAGAGAGATTTAAAACGGACAGCTTTAATTTCTCGGATGCAGTTGCGCCACGGGAGATGCACGGGAGGAAAGATAGAAAACAGCGGCGGTCGATATCCAGCAGCCACGCCACTGCTGCGAGGTCCACGCTTATCTATTATGTTCTGGCTACGGCCATTGCGAACAATAACCGTGCTGCAGAGAGATTCGAATTTGTCGCCGAGCACGGCACATTGTACCAGTGGCGCGAAGCAGCCGTAATCTCGGCATACTTTATTAACTGGAGCAGCGCAATTTGTACAGCAGAAGGAAACGGAGAGTTCTCGCTCTCAAAATAGTTTATCGTACATTATCCGCATATCATATCACATTCTTAACAAGTGCGAAACGTAATATCTCGATAATTAAAATATTTCTTTGCAAATGCCTCGTGATCATTAATGCCGTCATTTGTTGCAACGCTGCACGTTGAATTCGCAATTGTGTCTTGCAATTATTAAATTTCCCTTTAATATTTATTTCTCACTTTCGACGCGCGTGTCCAACCTACTAACCGACTTTAAAGTTGATAGCGACGAGTGCTTCTTCAGTAGTTCTCGTAACTAAAAACTTTTGCTCGCGTCAGGATGAATACAACAATACGAATCAGGGTGTACTTTGTACTCTCGCGCGCGAAAAAAAGGCATTTTATCTTCTAAATAAACGTTTGAATATTATATAATCCGCGGAAATCTTCATAGTTATGCAACATTTAATTTGAAACAAATTTTGATTGAAAGGATAATAAGCCACATCTTCCACAAAATTCGTGTATCTTGTCTGTGAAATTTATTTATTTATTTCTTTTTGGGGGGGGGAAGAATGCGTTATTACTCTTGAAAATAAGTTCAATACTTACGTAATATCTGTGATTCAGTGACATCTCTTCTCGTTTCTTCGTCAGCTACTTTCCTCGTCTAAGAACTCGCGCACGATGTCGCAGGGATCTTCACAAAGTCGCGTTCGGAAGAGCTGTTCGCGATCTCCATATCTCTTCCCTTTATTCGCCAGCTAATCGATTATCGGAGTACATCCGTATATTCTCAAAGTGCTCTCTTCGTGGGAAGATGCGCGATGCGTACTGGCGCGAAGTCTCTTCGAACGACGAAACGTTTCGTCCATACGAGAGTTAAAAGGGGATATTTCACGCGCGCAATCAATACTTCACTATCTCCTTCCTACGTGGGGCAGTGTTATCCTTTTCCTCGTCCAGCGATATCAGTCTTACATATTTATTGTCGAGTTTTGCACTTATCTGTAGCGTCGTTATTATTGTCGTTTTTACGCGATTGTTTCCTATGCATCTGGGTCATACGTTGGCCTCGTCGTCGCCGTCGTCGCGCTATCTCGCGTTCTCTCTTTCTCTCTCACCTTCGCATCACCTACGCTGTTGCGGATCTTATCGTTCGAAAGACTGTCCTGCGAAAAAGATTCGTGTCAGAGGATGTTGCGCTTTAGACAATCTCTTCTCGAAGTCGGCATGGAAGCGCGCGAGTGCGTTTCTTCATTTTCTCGTAGAAGAAAGAACGGATTATTTCATCCGTGAACGCCGCGTTTATTTAACGATTTTTCCTTCAAGCCGAGTTAAACTCGTCAGATACTATCGCGGTGATCCGCTTGTTGACAAAGATTACGAGAAATGACAATCTTAATGCGGATTTGGAGATAAGAGTATTACATTTCGAAGGAAAAATGTCCTTGCGAATAAATTATATTATACGGGGGGGGGGGGAAAAGTACTCGATCGAGAATTCTGTTTACTGAAATGTGTCAAGCACAAGGTGCCTGGATAAAAACGCGATCTTGAGAGCTGAGGGTATTTAATTTTAGGCATGGATAATTTTTCATAATTAAATTTCGAGAGATATCTTACAAGTTACGTGTGGACCGCTTTATCTCTTTCATTCATCAGTTTATAACGTTGCATTAATCTTCTTGAGAAAACAGAACGAAAGCGGGAAAATAAAGAAATGTTGAAATACATTATGATTAATATTTTTGATGGTATCAATATTGATGCGCTTTGGACAAATGCGATTTGCATTTTTTTAACATCTTTTCCGCCTGTCCACGTCTTATCGTATCAAGCTGGCTAATAGTGCACAAGTATAAATAGTGCGCATGCAAAATGTCACTGTTATGGGCCGGAGCTTTTAGCTTCGCCTGTAAAAACGTCGCAGTCCATTAGCAGTGCCGACGATGCAACGATGTCAGTTCACCCGGTCGCGGGGGGGGGGGCGCGGACGCGAAAAATTCAACGCTCTGCCACGCGGTCGAGGAATGCACCGTCCGACTGTTATTATCCCTGCTGTCCATAAGGGAACGGAAACAAAATCAGACGCGATAAATAGTACGTTCCTACAGCCTGTCGAAAGATGTTGGAAAAATACGCGGCACTCGACGTGTCAGCGCCGCACGATACGAGATCTCTCGACATGTTTTAATTTCACCGCATAATTACGTGTGCTTTATTAATCGCTTGCTTTACGCATGAAAAATTGTTCTAAACAGAACAGAGCGCGCAACGACGATATAATTAGAACGGAGAAATATTAATTTTCTTATTGGTGTATTTTTTTCAAATCAATACTGATACGTTAATATTGATTAAATCTCTGCGCGAATTGGCGAATTGCGCGCGACGAGCTCCGCGGAAGGTGATCTTGGAGAAAAATATTTTTCGCGACGCTAACCCGATGGAATTCCGCCGATCAGAGGGATTGGCCGCGTCAGAGATAGCGCGACTCGTCGCTCCGGCTATTGTTCCTCCCGTTCCGAGACTCCGAAGTGCTGCTACTGCCAATATCGGAACCGACGACGCAATATCGGGTCACGAAGTCCAGCTCTGTCTCTGGCAGCAGGCGGCCGATAACTCACGGCGACGCACTGGCGGCACGGCTATTAATTCGATTGAATTTACCCGTAATTGCCGTCAGATTAGCTCGCAATTTGATTCACAAGATTCCATCGGCGTGACGATCGCCGTACACTTTAAAACGTTTCAGGCAAGGCGCCGAGCGATTCGCTCCACTTTCGATCTTATTAGACGATGCATCGCAGACGTGATGCATCAGAGCCCAGATTACAGATGTGGACGTTGATCGATCGTCCGGGGATCGATCCTGTCCCGTCGGTCGCGTCGTCGAATGTGGAATTTTAACCCTTTCAAACCTGACGACGGTCGAGTTGACCTTTCGAACTTTTGAGCAGATTGCATTTCCTTTGAAGAAACATTTCGCCGTGTCTCTTGTATCGTAATAAAATTCCGAGCAACTCTCTTCATTAATCAATGTTACAGTTACATAAATAGCTGTTTATTACTTATAGTTAGGCGTACGTGTTGGGTTCTCTGCAATAAATAATAAGTGTGTAATTTCGGACTTTTAAATAAATTTGTATTTTTTTCGTCGCGCAAAGCGCAGCTCGATTAACGTAAATTGACGCGTAAATTAAATGTTCGTTTTTTTACGATGCGATTTTACCACGTTGTGTAAAAGCGTGTTGCATAAAAAACAATAACACAATCTGCTGGAAAACACGAAATTACTTACTGCATGATCCAATATTTATCTTTCGATCAACTGTTGGAATTTTACAAATTTACGATCAACGTAACACTTTGTTTACGCAGTGCTCTTGCAGAATTGGACTGCGAGTCACACTTTCGCCGAGGTATATTGTTCGCGCGGCGAATGAACGGAACCGGTCAATTTTATCGCGAATGATCTATTTCCGATCTCCATGAAGCGTAATCGGCGCAGCGTGTCTATCTAACGCGACTAGCGCGATCGATCGATCGGACATCAATTACGCAGAACACGTGACGCCGACAGAAACGTTGTATTTTCCGCAACGCTCGCGGCGGAATTCCACCGGGTACGTCGGTCGTTCATTTAAAAAACATACATCACGTTCCTATGGCTGTCGATACATGATTTCCTTTTATTGTTAGTCCGCGCGCAATGTTGCAATCATGCATGAGTTCTGTAATTTATAACGGAGGTATCGTTAAAATAATTTCAAACAAGTATTATTATCGTCGAAATGTGGATTATGACTCGTCATTACTGCAGTTATCGCTTAATTGTGTTATAAATTATTAGCAATCGTATTATTTTATCGTTATTATAATTATTTTTCAATTATTCGCGTCTCGAGTACACTTGTCCCCGCCTCGGCGATAAATATCGCGAATCGCGGCTGCATCGCCCCGTGGCAATTAGAAGGAAGAAAAATGAAAGGCGCGTAGAAGAGGAGCGAGCAGACAGACGGGAGTAATATGTCCCGGCTCGTTTGTAGGATTTGTGACGCGACCGAGCGGATATAAAAAAAAGGGGGACGCAAAGAGAGAAAGAGATAGAAGAATCCCCGGCGCTCTTTATCCTCGGTGGAAGGTTCCTGCAAAGTGTCTTCCTCGCGCTTCGCACGAGAATAAATTATGAGAGACGCTGGCTGGTTGAAAAGTTTTGATCCCTGCACCGCCACGGGAAAGAGGGTCTTACGTGTCTCCACCGCACCGCGACCTTTCCGCTTGCATCGCGCGAAGGGTATAAACCGCAATCACGCCACGACCGGCCGTATAAAAGATCTCGTCCCCTTCTTATGCGCGAATGAAAACGGGCGCTCGCTTCCGCGTGACTTGGCGCAATCGATCAGAATTGAATGACAACTCGAACGCGTATAAATTGCAAGTCATCGATCGCGTCGAATGACTTCTCTTCGAAATTCATTCAAGCTCCGCGGATAAAAATACGCGAGTTCGTAAATGTGCGAACTTAAAAATTGCAATACATTCGATGATCCGGAAAGATGTTGGGCGATCGTTACGCACGAGTTTTGCCACTTATATATCGTCCGCTCGATGCTCGCATAATTAGCTACTCATTATAACGCGCAGATTATACACAGTTTCCGGGTGACCACGCTGATTTTATCCGCGTTTACGGCATTTCGATGCGCGAGACATCGGCTCGATTGTATTTGACGTCAATATAATAACCGTGAATGATATTCGTTAAAGTGTTTGTTTAATATCGGGAAACGCTACTCGACGTCACGTTCAATTATACTCAATCGGAAACCTATTGCAACACGCGACACGCAAGTTTTTGCGGGGGAGGGCAAAGATTGACGATGTATCGTAGATTCGTTAAAGCGCGTCAGATCCGCCGGTGTGAATGGTCTTTAATTACGTTTATTGACGTCGATCAACCCGCCCGTCAAACATTCATCGACACATAATCGCGATCACAAACGAGTTCTGAAACGGAAACTCGGTGAAAGATAAAATTATTTCTCCCTTTTGTTTCTTGAAAAATTTATTTTGTTAAAACAAATGTCTGCAGAGTAAATATTACCGTAAAATATCTTTGCAATAAAGCATCCAATTAAACGTCCGAAGTGCTGCTATTTATTCTATTTGCGAGTAGTTGATGTCCGTCTTAATCGCATCATCTTAAGTACTATTTTTAATGTCATAATTAGCTATAATTAGCCGCAATTAACTTCGTTCGCATTTATAAGCAGCTTATTAAAATGCAGAGGAAAATTCACCAGTCGTTGAAACGCTCGTATTTCCGGGGAATTAGCCTGTCATTTCAATCGGTATTCGTTCGAATCGTTCGCGTCGTTTTCCTCTCTCGTCGCTACGCACGAGAGAAATCAAAAGGACGACTACCAGTACGGAAACCAAACTTTTTCCATAAGCTCGGCGAGGAAAGTGGAAAGTACTTTGGGAGGTACACGCCCCGCCATACAAGCGCAATCTGCAGCATCGTGAATCGGAAATTTATCGCCTGCATACACACACACAAGCGCGTGTCTTTCGTTTACTTTTCACCCGTCGACGCCATACTCCAAGTCGCGATTTACGGACGCGTCGCACGTCGCATGTTCGAATTATCTCTCTCTCTCTCTCTCTTTCCCTCTCTCTCTTTCTCTCTTGCACGCGTGCGTGAGGTCTGAAACGTGTCTCCAAATTTTAATTACGAATTTTCTTTAGAAAAAAAAAGCCCATGGTGAAACCATAGTTTTCTCACGTAAGCCGGGGATTGTCTACGCATAAAAGAATAATCACATATCAGTGAGCCGAATTGTAATGTGAAATTTATCGGACACGCGTATATCCGTACCCATCGTTAAATTTCATTCAACATTGCAAGTTGAATGATAAATTAAATAAAGAGTTTTATCCGGCTTATCGAGAAAGAATTTATTGTACACTTTTCGAAATACTTCAATGTCATTAGCGATTTTTCATTAATTCTAACGAGCCAATTAGTTTATACGTGCAATCTCCGCATACGATCATTAATCCGGCCGTTTTTCCGCTTGATTATCGTGATTTATGTAAGCGGAACGGAGAAATTGCGATCTTGGAAGAAAATCGCTCAACACACGCGGCGATAAACGCGTGCGGATAGAGAGCGCGGGGCACAAAAGCCGATGTGTATTAAACGCCCACGCGCAATCACGCGCGTGTGTATCTACTCTGTAAATGTCTCCATTGTAAATGGATTCTGTCTTGCGCGCGAATTACCGTAACTCATCGCGTGCGCGCGCGTTCGCGCTGAACGTGTCAGGAGCCGGATCAAGCTACGCATTAAATCAGTTGTCGCTGCAGCGACGATTAATTTAAATTATTATGCGCGCGCGTAGGGAATCTCTCGTGCCCGAATCAGGACGCGTCCGAGATAATACGCCCCAGTAACACTGAAAACGGCGCGTGTGTCGACAAAAATTGCGTTCGTCGGCGGAATCGTCGTAGACACCGGCGCTGCGCGCTCGCATTCGTTGTGAAGCTCGGGGCCGCATGTGAAACTCGATATTCCATCCCGTGTAAGCCGATACCCGACATTTGCTTTAATCGATATTAGATTGGACGCGCAATCGTCGCGCCGTGGAGATTTCATCGACACCTTTCGTCGTAACTATCGGTATAATCGGCAGTTTTCCTTTTCAATTTGGTTCAAATTATAATAGAAAAAAATACCCGTGTTTTATTCCGAATTGAGATAACTTTGCGAGTTATGCGTTTGTTATGCAAATGAAATTAAAAAACTGGCGAAAAAATTCTAGCTAATTAAATTGGAGTGATTTTATGAGCTACGCGCGCTTATTATGTAAATTAAATGCTAAATTGAAAACTTAGAAGAAATTTAAATTGTAAAAAGTTAAACACTTCATCGTAGAAAATTATTTCTGTGTTTATCCGCGTCGGGATTATAATAAATGTTATTTTAAAAGCTTAAGTTATACGTGAGAAGTTGAAATAAATGACAGATAATGTAATAATGTAATAACTTATAAGGATTATCGTGAGCACTTTATCATCATGTGACGGTCGGGAGTGGAAAATCAGCGGTTGCTATTGAAAACAGAAAGAGACAGATAGACAGCGAGAGAGAGAGAGAGAGAGAGAGAGAGAGAGAGAGAGAGAGAGAGAGAGAGGG